GAGGAACATGAATGCGCCCGAGTTCTCTGAAAACAGACTGAGAAATATGGCTGGCAGCTGAAAAAGCATGATGCCCAAATGTACCGTTTTACTGGTCTTGCCGGATGTGCGTATCCCGGTTTATGACGAAAACAGGAAAACTGGGGAAACTTCTGGGCGGATTCATCCGCGAAGTTTGTGTGTCAAGATGTGATATTTGGCATGATCCAAACTTACCCCCTGCTTCTAATGAGTGAGGCGTTTCGGAAATTAAGACAAGAAGGTTTGGTTTTTCACACATCGATTACCCCTCCTGGAATGCTGATGCAATTGACAAATGTTCAGGTTCCTACCAAACATTTTGCAATACCAATTACTTCGGGATAGAGAATGAAGCCCCAATTTTACTGGTTGTTATCAGTGTGCGCAAAACGTTTGAATAAATTATTCGTGTGGTATTTCGTAATTGGTTTTGCAATAATCGGAAATTAATTCAAGGCAAAATGTAAATAAGTGCATCAGTTTGCAAAACCATTCAAGCAGCTTGAAAAACTACCTGCAAACTACCTACGAAACTTCCTTGTGTAGCCGGTTACCCCGGAAAATTTTTCGAAAGTGTTAATTTCTCAGTTAACCTGACTTCCTATACGATGCTTCAAATGTGGCCATTGGACAACTGGTAAACTTTCTTATGCTGAATATTCCAACGAAATTCTCAATTGAAAACGCTAGCTTCCAACTATTAATAACCTCCGTAGACCTGCATATTTCTCACGTCTTGCCGCAAGACTACCAACAGACTGAGCATGTTGTTGAAACACGTCGTCTTCACATTCCTACTAATGTGTGTTCATTTTCACATGATGCCAACGGAAAAAATCGAAATTCTCCCATGTGCAGTGGCCCCGACCCTTGTTTTTAATATGGCCCGTAGACATAGGCACTGCAGATCCTGATCACGACCTGCATTTTCCTGATTTCCAGTTTGCATTGCAAGACGAATGATTTAGCTCGTATATTGAGCTACGACCTATACATTCAGCAAAAGAGTATTATGCCGGGATGTTTCTTTAAGCATGAGTTGTGAACACACAACGCAGATTAGTTAGCGTATTTCGGATTCTCGTTGCACACCGTCGGTTGATCTAATCAATGGAATATGTTTAGTGCATGCGAATCTACTCGATATCGCCGGCGATCGCCATAATTTTGCAATGACTTTCCTAAACAGGCAGTAGTGATTTTGTCTGGCTATCGCCTGTTATGAAACATTACCAGATGTACATAGTGAAGCTGAAGAAACAAGGCAAGCAACACATGCAAATATATATATATATAACTATCATGCAGCGATATGTTTATGACGTTTTGCTACATGGCCACAAGCAGAGGGAACACGATGTCTGAAAGTGCCGTTTAACTGATTCTTCTGGATGTACGTTCTGGCAGAACATGAAAAATGAGGAATCAACTGAGCAGATTCATCCTTGGATTTGAGTGCGAAGATATTGAAATATTAAACTTACTTGCTTGCGCTAATGTAAGGGACGTTTTATATTGGGAATAACATATCGAACTATTTTTTCGGTTTGTTTCATCTGGCGTTCCCGCAATAAAACGAAACACTATATCCATACGTCGTTCGAAAAAAAACAATAAAACGCCCATTGTTCCGTACAAAATGGGAGCATTTTCGCACTTTTTCTTTAACGATGCTTCAAAATTTAGATCAATTTGTATACATCAGGGCGAAAACAACTAACTCATTCGGGTGTATAAAGTTTCCACATTTACCGGCATCTTCACTTTCTGATTTGCAATGGAAATGTTTGTCAATGAATCACGTTATACGCATTATATCTGTTGAACAAATATCTCCTCGTAATACGCATTATATCTGTTGAACAAATATCTCCTCGTAATACGCATTATATCTGTTGAACAAATATCTCCTCGTAATACGCATTATATCTGTTGAACAAATATCTCCTCGTAATACGCATTATATCTGTTGAACAAATATCTCCTCGTAATACGCATTATATCTGTTGAACAAATATCTCCTCGTAATACGCATTATATCTGGAGGGACCATTCACATAATGGATTTAATAGTTTCAATGACGATGGGTGATTTTGAAGACGGCCAATCGTACAATGCTCTGTTTACACGTAAATCACATCGGAGTTGCCAAACATCTATGAAAATGGGAGCGCATCATCTTCCAGAACCCACAGTGTATGCATGTGTGGTAACAAATATCAGGAAGCAAGCTCTCACTCCCAAAACAGTCCACCTGTAGTTTTCAATAATTAAATTACATTTAACCCGTTTTTTCAAATGAATTGCGGGTTATTTTTGCTAGATTGCTACGCAGGCTCATAGGAACAATTGCAACAAACTGTTTATTTCGGGCAGTTAACCATATGAGTGAAGCAAAATGTCCCGTTAAATCATTTATCCCGCACGTTGCGCACACAAGACGAATAAAACCGCTGCAGATTTATGGATAAATCAATACTTCCAGTATATGTTATTTACGTTAGTAGTGAATAAATATTTGGGACCCACACTGAAATTTCATACTAAAACCCACAGAATGATGAGCGTGACCCTCCGCTTATTGTTCTAGAGCTTCGTCCTTCCGATGTATGTTTTTGTTGGTTCGCATCCTGATAAAACTGAAAAATCAAACTGAAACACCAAATTAGTCATGTGAAGCAATCAAATCATATGTTGATGAAATGCATGAAATCCTCTTTAGCAGCCCGCTCACCACGGTTACAAAAAAGTCTCTCCATAGCCGGGTTTAAATTGAAAATGACTGGCGCTCTCCATTCTGATGGCCGGTGCTTTCGTATGGCATCCGCACTGCCCAATGTGTTGAGGATTTGCACCGCAAATTAATTTCCAATTCAGGAAACTCTATGTTGTGGACGACGAAAGGAGAACCGAATGTGAATTGGGCCTAGTTTCGTCGGCCAATGAAAATGCGTCAGGATTATGCCGGTGTGCAGCAAACACTCTTTTGTCAAATTTTGCTGGTAATTTTAATGCACCGTTTTGGAGTGGAAGTGATGCCTCTGGCAGTTTTATCACTCTGCATGACAACCATTATTGGTGATTACCTTGAATGGCGGAAGGAATAAGGACTGTAATCTCTTGATGTATTCTAGTTCCCACCACAATTAATAAGTCATGTTGTGTCTGAAACCAGACACTGGACAACGGTCAAGTGATTAAAGCCGTGCAATTGGATAAATGCAGCCTTAAATAATTAGAGGCGAATCGACCTGTACCCAATGAGTTTTTGGTTTTATGTTCGAATTTCAGACCTTTCAACTTCTCGTGATTCGGGAAAGCTTTTCTCCTCCTTTGAGGTAGAAAGTTCTCGTCGATTGGTGTTCCTTCGTGTGTGTTATGGCTAACTCTTGCTGGTGCAAGGAAGACAGTTCTCAGCCGGGAATTCATCTTGTAGGTTTCACCATATAAACAGTTGCAAACTAGCGGTGAGAAAACACACGTCTCCAACGTTCCTTGTTTAAAAAACTGAACGTGTTCTTCAGTTTCATTGAACTATCTTGGATACAGATTAGCCATCTCGCAATTGTAGACGAATGTTACAAAGTAGTTTCCCAAGTTCCGTAAGTAACCGAACTTCCAGTAGCTGCGATGTGAAGTTACCCAGAATAATACACTACTCGAATGTCACATCGGTAATAGCGAACCGAACACATTTTCTTCTTAAACTAACTTTGCATGCCACCTATTGCCTCCTTTATGTCTCCCACAATATTCAGTGCATTTTCCGGCAACAAGTTTGTCCACAGAAGATTTAGGAGAGGAAAGGGGCCAACCAGGAAACTTGGTTGCCGTAGTGGAAGGGAACAGACGGAGGACGGCAAGTACGTGGGCGCATCCATTATCATGGGCTCGAAGATCATGTTGGATAATCGAATTTCGGACGGAATGGGAATGTGAAAACTCGAAAGCTGATGCCACGGTCTGCTTGCCGTTCCCGATCACCAGCCGAAATTATATACAATTCAACACTATTATGGATTGCAATTTTTAATTAGGACTCAATTTCGGAA